AATACAATTACAAGAAAAGTGTTTCTTGTTCTTCTAATTTGAGTTGAGATTTTTGAGAAAACTGCTATCACAAGTTTTCCGTTCAATTTGTTCGCGGGTTTCGTTGATCAAAGAGTTGATAGCAAGGATCGGTCTCGGTGTGGATACGCATAGAGTCTTCGCACTATCGAAGAAATTTGAAACGAGACTCTCTTCACCAGGTACGTCTTAGATCCGATCTTTGACATGTAAATAAATTTTAAACACGAAAAAATCTGCCTAGGATTGTTATTGTCTTCCGCTGCGTGTTACGAACACCTATACGCAATCCTACACACTCCTGAGCACATGTTTCCTTCCTTTGTAAAAGAACTCCATAGTGAGTTTCTTTAAGTTCACCTTGACATCACCAAGTGTGATCAGCCATTCAACACCTACTATCAAATCATAATTTGTCAAAGGCAACAACATGAAATTGGCCTCAAATTCAGCACCCTGCAATAGCCAAGATAATCTGCAAGCAGTATCCACCTTCATACCACTACCATTTGCAGCAGTAACTATATGAGGATAGGTGGTTGTTACAGGACATCTCAGCCAAATCAGAGTTGATGAAGTTGTGTATGCTTCCAGTATCTATAAGAATGTGCAAGGGTTCCTTAGCATTATAGACAGTAACTCTAACGAATTTGAACCCCATAGAACGATTCAATACATGAACTAATATTTTCATGTGTTCTGTCTGCTCAGCCAACTCTAGTATTTGTTCTAGATTTCCAGAGCTCTCATCATCTTCGGAATATCCAAGATCCAGATGTTCTTCAACTTCTAATGCATAAATTTGCTTAAGGTTGCACATACTTCTCATTACAGAAGTAGCACAAGCCTTTGGCCTTTTTCTCGTTGGCTTCCTCAACACTCAGTCTTCTTCGTTAAACCCTCCATTAAAAGTTGCTTGCTGGTCTTTCCTAGGAGCAGGCAAATCCAACAATGGTTTGTTTTGTTATTTCTTATCCAAATTCCTTTTAAAATTTGTGGTTTGTGCCGGAGGTAATGATACCCTCTGCATAATCTCCTTGGACTGAGCATCTTTGTAAGCTTCTTGCATCCTGGCTGCTTTAAATGCTTGAGCAAGAGATCTTGGTTTGGTCATCTTCACTCCTATGTTTAGTTGTTCCTCCAGTCCTCCTATGAAGCAACTAATTGCATTTTTCTGTGATAAATTTACTCTTGTAAGACTTATTTCAAATAGAAGTGGGTGACTGAGTGCAACTCCTGTATTTCATAAAACCTTGATGCCATTCCATAGCTTCACCTTCTAAATGAAGAGATGCCAATATGACTCTTTCCTCGGTTGGTACTTTATCAATTTGGAAGAATTGTTCTGCTTTGAATAACCACGGCTTCAAATTATTTCCAAAAAATCTAGGAAACGAAATTTGTTTGTACTTGGAATACTGTCGACCATCTGCTTAATTTTCTTCCTCCTCCACATGTTATCTTTCAGATGAATCCTTACCATTGGATCTGAACTTAGATCCACAGGGACCAAGTACATCCTCCTCGTTCCTCTTCGATGGATTGAACATTTGTTCCTTCAATTCACCCAATGTCTGATCCAAACCCTTCAAGTGAGCAACTTCGCCCGCTAAAGAGCCTACTGTAGAGATCAACTGTTGCATTAATTCGTTGAGATCGCCCAATTCTGTCGTCGGATTCTCAACAGTTTTACCACCTTTCGTCATTTTTATCACCAGGAATCGAAAGCTCTGATATCGATGTTATTCAAATGCAGGGATTTGAATGTAGCAGACTAGGAGCTATAATAGAGAAAGCTCGAAGCTTAGCTATGGCGATGGAAGAAGAAGATTCGAGAAAAGAGAAGAATAAAGACTGTAGGAGTAGAATGTAATTGTTATTATGATATCCAAAATGTAATTGAGCTTGAATGAAAGATTCCTTCTAACCAGTTGTCAACTAACTCTAACTAACTTTTGACTGTTACTAACTTTCGGAACTAACTAACTGCTATTTGCTTCATTAATTCCAGCTTACTATTAACCACTAATACAACACTAATTATATAACAATGCGTCAGCCTATAAATTTTTTAGACTGTAGCCAATGGCCAGAAAATTATTCAAAGGCAGTCAAAAAGAAAACTACAGTCATCTGATGAATCTGCTTCCCACTTCTCCTTCCTGCTAGTATCATTTTTTGCGAAGGAACAATATTTCCATATTTAAGAAACGAAAACAGGATGGAACAGAAATTGGAGACTGCACCACAAACAGCAATATGGCTCCAAGAAAAAGTTGTCATACCTCAGTGTTTGGACCAAACCGCATTAGTTTACCATGGTTAAGTAAGAAATTGAGGTAAAATTGGTATTATAATCAACAATTGCTAAGTGATACCATTGTACATAAAAATACATGTCATGTATTCTTGGATTGGTCTAAAAATTGGGTATGAGTAAATTTTTCCAACACAGTCATATTAGAAAGATAAAATGGATGGTTAACTGAAAAAAACAATTTAGATAAAATAGATGTCCGGTGCACAAAGTATCCCCACTTCACGCAGGGTCCGAGGAAGGGCCAAATCCCAAGGGGTGTGAGGTAGGCAGCCTAGCATGATGCAAGCATCAGTAGCTGATTTCACGGTTCGAACTTGTGGCCTATAGGTCACACAGAGACAAGAATACAAACCTGTGACCTATAAGGTCATACAGAGACAAAGAATACCGTTGCTCCAAGACTCCCTTTAGACAAATTAGATGGTTAACGGAAAAACCATTTCATCCAAAAGAATCAAAAGAGGTACAAAGTGAGTAGCATTATTAGGTACTTGGACACATCAATGCTAAACACTGGAGGGACAAAATTTTAGCCAAGCCCAAATAGCACATTCTTCACCATGTAAATGAAGGGATAACATATGTAGGATGTGCATTGTTTTGCAAGGCAAGAGCATGTATAGAGTTATCATCTGCGACCTCTCCAAATTTGTCAAGTCCAAGTTCAGTAGCATGGATTCCACATGTAATAAATGCGGATGCAATTCCAGCTGCATTTGCACCTTTGATATCATGGTGGAGGGAGTCTCCTATGGCAATACAATCAGAGGCATCCTCAGCAGCCATTTTCATAGCTGACTTGTATATTATCTGCAAGGAGTTATGAGATTGTTCAATGATGTTCAGAAGATATCCAGTGGGACAATAGAAGCAGAGAAAAGGTCAGACAATCCAATGGATCATGTACATAAGCATAAGAACTATGTTCATGTTATTTGACAAATTCAGTGTGACATTGTAGTGTGTTTTTGAATCCCCCTTGTATAAATTCAAGGCTCTGCCACTGCATAGGACCGTATAAAAAAGAATGATTAATTTTAAGATCTATAAAACGAAGTGCCTTAAATCTTACAGCTACCAGTAACTAGGCTCACAAGAAATACTCCAAGAAATAACAATTTGTAGAACCTTAGAAACAAAGGATAAATGCAACTTGATATACTGGTCTTCTATTGCTTACACTTTCCTATGTTTTGCTCTAATTTGAGATCTTTTCCTTTATTCAATAGAATCTGATTGCCAATTCTCTCATATGTTTTCTGAACCTATAGAACAGATAAACACACGAGTATCTCGTAAGAAAAGAGGAAAACATATACTGATTACACTTCACCTTATCAGGTTTACCCATCCATTTTACTTCACCGCCAAGTTTTTCATATGTGGCCGCCAATGTTCCTGGAAAACAAATCCAAGAGAAGGATCTCAGTCATGAATCTAGAAATGGAGAAAGACAAGATGCAGGGTGGAAGTTTGTAATGCAGTTCAATGATAATTAGAATGAAATCAGTTGGTGTGAGAATTAGTGGAACCTTAAGAAAAAGATATTGTCGTCTTAAACAGTTTAATAGATAAACTGAATGCTAATATCAACGCTGTTTTCCTTGTTTTATCAAGATATGTCCCCTAAAGTATAAAGTAACTAAACATCCAAAGCATGGGTGCCAGAAAAATATTCTTACCGGGCATAACACGCAGAGCCCTAACCTCAACAGTTACAAAATCAGGATTTGCTACCACCATGGGAATTTTTTTAGTAGCACACTGCTCCAGTATTTTTTCAAGATCATCAAGTTTCATGGGAAGTGCGGCTCCAGAAGAAAGCCCCAAGGCTTCAGTTCCATGAGCCAAAATAAAATCGGCTCCCTGAGCATTTTCCACAACTTCTAGTCCGAGGCTCTAACAAAAAAACAAGTGCCTTTTAGTGAGAAAGACAACATGTTCTTCAATTCAAACACTCGTGCAAACAATGGAGACGGAGATGCAACTGAAACTCTTCAACATCAAAACATAAGAGCCACACTTGGACATTATTCTAAGGAACTCAGATATACCTCAAGAGATATAGCACCCCTGTCACTCCAAGTCATGTGAATACATGATCTTCCCAAGGAGGCAAACCAAGCGTCATCTCTCCTGCCCATATTCAAATGTAAAGAAACACATTCACTTACATATACGGGAAAAGCTAATGCAAATACCTTGTTAATTTGACATTCTTTTATTTGGGATTGGGGAATGAGGATTAAGCGAAAATAACAGAAAACTAATGAATGAATAAACGATGCACTGGAGAATTAGTTACTTCACCATTTTTAGTTGATAATCTGTAGTTCAATGCTCATCTAAACTGATAGACACAACATGTGATTTCCTTAAGTTTCTGTTCAAAATAGCGACAGTTCTAAAAGAAATTGCAAAATAAAAAATGACACAATGTGAGGGATGAATGAGAAAAGCAGCAGTGATAATCGTTGGAGGTGACTATGTGGGAGGAGCCAATTGGTAGTTGAAACATCAAGTGAGACATGCATAATACAAGAGATTTAAAGCACCTTACGTTCAAACATCTTAATAGTTTGAAGTTAAATTTAGAATGATCAATAGAAAACAAAGAGATTCTCATATAAGAGATCTATATGAAGCAGATATGCTACAGAATAACTCCCAAAAAGATGATCAATAGAAAGTTATCAAAGAAATTATCATATAGGAAATCTACAGGCAGAGGCATGCTATTGAATAAATCACAAATTGAATCATGATATAATTTGTCCAGTAATATGCAACCTTTGAAGATACTGATGTGTTAATTCTCCACTGGTAATGGCACCAATAAAGAGTGATGGATCAAATCCAAGGCTCCTCAATTTTTCCAGGGTTGTAGATGCTCTTCTTGAAGAATTACTAACGATTACCATCTTTGCACCATAAGTTGCCAACTTTTCCACTGCTTAACATCATTAGTTATCCACTAAGGAAAAACTAAAACAGTAAGGAACCACTCAAAGTATATATAGACAAGCTTACCAAAATCTCAAAGCTAATAGATGAAAACGTACATGTCGAAATGGCACCAGGATAAGGTTGTTTCCCATCATGAAGGACTCCAAACTGATCCAGAAACCATGCCTGAAGACAAGTTACAGTAGAATCTTTAGAAAGATACATGAAAAACGGTTCACATACTGAGTACATTAAAACCTCAGTTCAAACAGAATTCTTAGAAATGTGTTGATGCATCTAAGTATAACTAGATTTAATACCCTAAGGATCAACCATCATACTTGCAGCTCCGATGAGCGTCCCAACAACCCAATATCCTCTATTCATCCCATTTAGAGGAAATATAGTAAACTGACTAAGTACTACAATTATTTAACTCTCCAGAGCAGATACTGCAACATTCATGAGATTGATATGGCGTTAAAATATTTTCCTTGATGATTTTCTAATGATTAGTTGTCTTAAATTAATCAAAATGTTCTTCTAAATGAAAATAATTTATAAAAAAACAGGGGGAAATGACTTATTGTAATTGATGGGCGCAAGTCATTTTCCTCTATAGCTACTGATCCACGTATCTCGTTTCAACCAACATATTAACATTATTGGCAACCTTCAATACTCAAATATCATCAAGAAACCACCCTCGCCCCCATCTCCATATCCTACTATTGAATATCCCACGTTGGTTGGGATTGGAGTATTGGACTCCTTATATGGACTTGGACAATCCTCACCTTTTGGGGTTGAGTTAGGCCAAGGTTCATTTCTTTATCATTTATTTTTTTACCCCGCACCTCGACTAATCCACCTCAATATATACTTCAACCTGCTTTAAGAGACCACCCTAAAACGGTAAAATGATAAATAAAGTGGCATTCCAAGGCTAAGAAAACTTCAGGAAAAATATGTTCCATAGAAAAAAAAAATTACATCACATAGAGCACAAAGTTTGGAACTTTTTTATCCCATTTTACATTTTTACTTGTCGGGGCAACATTTATGTTATTCCTAATCGACATTTCACATATGTTCTTAATACAGTAGTTATAAACATGTTCCAAGAAAAATATCAGATTTTTGGACAGTCAGATTAAAGAACATTCAGTACCTTGAATCGGCGAGTTTCAGCTAGCTCTTGAATTCCATTCAAAGTTTGAAATTTTAGCTCGTTTGGCTTTGATGATTGAGCTGATACGCATCTTCCAATCATGGTTTAACTCCTTTCTCTGTATGTCTGAATTGCGATTGAGGTTTACTGTTCTTTCTTGCCCAATTAGAAATTAGCCTATTCAGCCCCAACTCCCACCCCCTACGCACAACTGCCTCACCCCCCANAGTAAATTCGGAAAAAATATTGGAAGTTGATGAGTCGAAAATAAAAGGCGAAATGGCTTCGTGACCACTTAAACTTGTATTGGATTTTAAAGCCGATATATAAACTTTTGATTTCCCATTTTAGCACCTCAATTCAACCAATTGAGTATAAATAAACCCCTTCGTCAGAGCGTGTAGCTCAATTGCCTGACAGGAAGAACACGTCAAATTCTAAGACCATTTATTATTTTACATGTGTCATTTGTGGGTCCCTTTTCCTTAAACTAATTTATCAAAAAAAAATTCTTATTTTACTTCTTTCACTGTTTCTTCTACAACTTTTAGCGCTACGGTCCGAGAAAAAAATCTCAGCCATAACCTGACCACATGCCTCAATCACGCATGAACTTCCATAAAATCCATTCCATCTTTCACTTTTAATAAAATCCATAGAATTCATACCCCCAGTCATAGAGCTGATGAGGCACCTGTTAAAATTCCGTGAAGGCATCAAGAGAGCCGGCGAGGCTATGTCCAAAAAGGACATTAATGGTGAAATCAGAAAGAGAGAAGAAGTCGGACTCCGTAAGTGGGATTTTCTGGCTAAAACTCGACAATTTTCCAATGGTCTTTCTCTTTTCTCTATCTATCTTCCAGTTTGAGATGGATACAAAAAATAGAGATGGAGTTAATGTGGGAGAAAGGATTGACAGATTTGTTTTGACAAAATTCATTGCTTTTTTTTTGTTTTTCACTATGCTGGGTTTGAAACAAAAAGAGGAAGAGGCAGGGAAAGATTAGAGTGGGGGAGAAATAAAGAAGGGGAAGGTGTGGGGAAGACGACTGATCACGGTCAACTATGCCTTATAAAAAGGACCCTGCGGACGTTGCAAATATAACCTGAGTATTCTGCCCAGAGTCGAATCCACAGAGAGTTAACCTATCAATCACTATCTTTAGACCCACTAAACTCTTGAGAACCAATTTCCCCAAACGTTTGAATCACAGTTGATGGTGTCTTCAATAACTAAAATTGCAAGTAAATAAACAGCTGTAAACTAAGGATGCTAAGGTTGTAAACAATAATGAGAAAACGCTAAGGTAATGACTTCCCCTATTGATGGAATCCCTTCTGTTTATGCTTCATACAAATTGACCAACACCTCTCTATCAATCATGAACGCTCATCTTACCGTAAATCTCTCCCGAGTAATCACAGTAATATACTCAATGCACTCTCCCGAGATACACTAGCTAGCTCTAATTAACACGGTTCACTTTAGATTGCACTCAAGGCTTCGTTATCCCTAATCCCGCCTTTAAACCCGCAGTTATAGATCCCTTTTATACTTTGGGAGTGTTGTTGTTCAACAATAACCTAAATATGCACTCTCTCCCGAGTTATGCACACTAAATAGGCACAACTAATTGAGGATCCTGTCAATTAACTACCACATGCACAAAGTTGAACAAATAAAGATTGAGACTAGCAATTTGTATTCACATAAACAAGAAGTTCATCCCCCAATAGGTTCCATCAAAACCTTAGACAAAAGATTTAGCTACTCATAACTATGGGTAAACAAACTAAAATAATATTCATCATAAAACTTGCAAGAAAAATTAAAGAAAAGAAGAAAGATGTTTTGGGGTGATCTCTCACAATTGTTTTTCCTTGCCAAAATACTCTCCAAATCAATACATCCCTCTCTTGGGCGAAGTCTAATTTTTAAAATAGGGTTTTGGGCTAAAAATCCTGTGTTTTTGCACTTTAGTCCCTGAAGTTCTCCGCCTTCGCCACGGTTCTGTCGCAGTCGCGGTCAAACTGTGGCCAAACATGCTCTCTGATTCTCACTTTGTCTGCAGCCATCTTCTACCGCGGTTCTGCCGCGGTCGCGGTGGAACCGCGACAGCCCTCTTTCAGTTCTGACTTGAGCTGTTTCGCGTGGTTTACTTGACGGAATTTTATGATCGGCCTCTTTTTCTCCATATTTGATCCCAAAAGTACTCCATAGCCTTCTCTGGTCATATATAACCTGCAAAGCATGAAAAACACTAATAAGAGCATTTTGTTATCACTTTTATCATCCAAACTATACAAGAAGGTGGTTATTTAGGGCCTAATTATAGTTAAATTCACCTATTATCAACA